CTTCTCCCATCCTCTGTTTCAGCGGGAGAAACCCAAGTACCAAAGGCAAAAAGGGAGAGAGAAAGGCACATAGAGAGAAAGACAGAGAGAGAGAGAGAGAGAGAGAGAAGAAAGAATGAGAATGAACAAATGAACAAGTGAGTGAATGAATGAAGGTCATGACTATTCCAGCTGCAGTCTCAAGTCAGAGCTTGGTGCTTTATACATTTGTTTAAAACACACGTTTGACAAAAGCCCCTCCTTTTGTTCTCTGCATTCATTTTCCGTGTACCACTGCCTGCAGAACCCGTGTGCCAGCCTATCCTCTCTGCTCAGCTCTGTGCCCTGCACCAGGGGCCCTGTTAAAACAGTGTAAACAATGCAATACCCTCCATGCCCTTAACCTCCAAGTCAGAGCCCCCTGCTATATTTCAGTGCAACTCTTTAGTAGTAGGGGGCCCCAAAGCGAACCTCTGCACAGGGCCCCAATAACACAAACAATGCTGCTTTCCCACATACAAGCCCAGACATACTGATCTCAGTTCTATGCCCATCCAGCAGCATCAGAGGGGTCCATCTATGTGCAGTTAAATCTCTACCAATGGCAAATGTTTTCTCCTTAACTTCCCTCAGCCACCTTTCCCAGTACCTTCTGCAGGTATCTCCCCCTGGTGTCAACATTCTCCTACCTCACTATGAGCCAATCCATTCACTGCCAAAACCTTCCTTTGCCAGCAGGATCAGCTTGAGATCACCAGCACAGGTCAGAGGCATCTCAGCCTCTATAAACACCACTGTCAGGGATGAAGTCCATGTTCTTTCCCCTGCTACTGCTCCAAGGTCTCCTTCAGCTGAGAGGCAGTACTAGACCAGCCTCATGGTTCTGGCTACCACACTATGAGGCTTGTCCATTCTACTCACTCAGAGAACTTTGTCATGTCTAGACCAAAACCAGCCCAATCCATGGCCATATCAAGTTGTTTATCCAGCTTGAATAGGGTGCCTGATGCTGGACAGATAACAGCCTGGTACACAGTACAAGATAAAGCGGGCTCAACAGCTACTGTCAGAAGAGGAAGAGAAAGGCTTCTGCTGCTCCCATACTTCTCTTGTCTTCTGCTATCCACCAGACACCAAGGAAATCAATGCTCAAAGGTAACAGCTGTCCACCCTCATCTTGGCTGAAACATCCAGAATCCTTTCCCAGCCCACTCTGCTCCAAGCTGCTTCTCCACACCTTGGTGTCAAGTCCAGTTTTCATCTGCTGCAACATCCTGTAGGACCACTCCACAGAGAGCAAAGCTCATTAATTTTGCCCACCCATCACTACTTGAGCGGGGGGTGTGGTTTTGCCAGGCAGCACTTGCTACCCTGTTTACTTAATGCCATGTGCATTTGTTCATTACAGACCCATCTCCTGAGCTTCCCTGCGGATAGAATGGACAATCAGCCAATAAGCATGGCACCCTTGAGACCCAGTCTACCCATCACCTCAGCTTCTGAAGCCAGATCTACCCTAGAGGGTGCAGACTCAGTGTGTAAAGGTATCTTCTCCCCCAGGTGTCCCCACAGCTAGCGCAGGAGCCATCATGACACAGGAAAGTGGCAAGAAACTGCTGGGTGTTCCTGGATCAAGCAGTAGCTTCACAAGGAGCTAGGCTATGGGATCCACCTCCTGGCAAGAGGAGGGAAGCCATTTGCCCAGTTCCCTAGGCAAAGAGCACAGGGGAGGCAGTATCTGTACAAGAAGAGGGTAGACTTAAACCCCCACCACAGCATGGGGAGCTACCTGTGGTTAACAATGCCTGACTGCAAAGGAGATTGAAACCAGAAAGTACCCCAGAGGGGCTGTCACAGGTGCTCCTCTCTGGCCTTTTCTGCTCACTGAGACTGGAGAGGAGCAGAGGCACTTGCCTTCCCCAGCTGTGTAGGCACAAATCTGTAGGAAGCGCCCCTGATAAAAGAGACAATAGAACAAACCTCGCTGGCCTTCTCTGGGGTCCCCTTTGGTGACTCGTCATCATGCTTGGGTGAGGAAGAGGCTGGTGATGAAGGCAGCCTCCTGTCCCGGTCCCTGTGAACCAGCTTGCTGTTGGGTTCCTTCAGTGTCCTTTTCAGCTCATTGATGCTGGCCTGGTGCTTTAGTAAAACATCTTCTGGTTTGTCTAAAAACTTTAGGAGGGAGAGAAGACAGTAACCAGCTAGGCATGGATCAGAGAATAGGGCTGGAGTGGGGTGTGGGGCATAGCTCAGGAGCTGGGGAGGGCCTGCTTTATGCTGAGCCTGAATTTGGGTTCTCAGGCCCCACTGCATGGGAAACCCCTGGTTCTGTAATTCGACAAGGACAGCTACAGAGTAGAGCAGGAACCAACAAGAATTTATACCTACATCTTGTCACTTGTTAGTATAAAACCAGGTCCCTTTTGTAGCCTTTAGTTGTAGTTCTTAGACCAAACTATAACTAACCAGGGAGAAGTAGATCTGAAGTGGTCCTCAATTCTATTGAAAAAGTGGACTCCAAGGGGGATTCACTTTTGTTCCCTATGGAAAATTCCAACAGTCCCTTGTCTTTATTATGTTCCACCAGCTCCTGTTCGTTTCTAATGCAGGGCCAAAAGAAGCCAAGTAGACCCATGAGTTAGCAGGCCAGGAGATCAACTGACTTGTTGTAGTTTAAAGCACAAGGGAGACAACTAGGATTAGCTAGAGAAGTTAAACTGGCATGTCAGTTTTCCCTGGAACCTGATTTCTGTGACCAGGCAGGAAGCCCTAGAGGGGCCAAAGATGCAAAATTTGAGTCCACACCTGTTTTTGAACCAGCCCAAATTGTTCAGAGGCAGGGTGTTTGTTTGGCCCACTATAAAGGCAATGGTTCACAGTCTAGGTATTAGGTCTGTTTCAGAACCCCTCTTCCCCCCACTCCCAAGTCTCTTTTAAGGTGTTCATGGCATTGAGAGAGACTAGGGATGAGCAAACCAGTTCAAAATGAACAAGAACCAATCCACAATCTTTGCCCCTAACTCAAACCTGTTTTGAGGTTCAAGTAGGCTTAGATAAGCATCTTTCTTCCCATTACTTTTACCTCTTACAACCCTGTGTCCATTTCTGGGTTCCATGTAGGAAAATAGATCTCAGAAACCTTGGAAAAGTCTGTGTAGGGCCAGGAGTCTTAGAGAAGTTTGGGATAGGAATCAAAAACTTTGTTGACGCTTCTGAGCCATCTGCTATGAGGTTTGCCCATCACTAGCTCAAACGGTTGCTAGGGAGCACATGACAGTGGTAAAAAATGGCACATGGAGCATGCAGGGTGGAATGAGCAATAAGACAGACAGTGGAGGGAACACAACAAGACACCTGGATGAGTGTGGGAAAAGAAAACAACTGGACAGCAATCACTGACCAAGTGAGTTTGCTCATCTTGTGTGGGATGGTACTGGCAGGGATGCTAGCAAAAAAACAGGCCATCTCCCAAGCCTTTTCTCAGTGGCAGCAGAAGCACCTGACTGGGCCTGGGTTTGTGTCCACTGTAAGCTTGAGCTGTGATTCTAGGGCCTGCTCTGTAACCCTCTGAGATCAAAGAAGAGCTTAACTGAGACTTCAATGGGGTTTGCATCAGCCAGAGGTTCTGAGGCCAGAAGGGGCCAGTATGATCAGATCCTGTGCCTGATACAAGACAGAGAACCCCACCCAGTAGTTTCTGCACCTCTGGTTAATCTGGATCATCTTTTAAAAAGACATGAGGGCTTGATTTAATCCTGTCAGTGACAGAGAACCCTCCATGTCTCTAGGGAACTTGTTCCAATGGAAAATGGCTTTACAGACCCCAGGTGAAGAGAAGGCAACAACAGCCTGTGCTTTGGAGTGGAAAGTAACAAAGTGCATCCTACTCAGCAACTCCATCTTCACAACCCCCTCCCCCTCCATCCTCTGTCAGCAGGTGAGTAAATATGGACATCCCCATCTTACAGATTGGTGAAACGGGCACTGAAGTGAACTGCCAAAGGCCAGGCAGCAAGAGAGTATCAGAGCAGGCTCAGAACTCAGCAGCTCCAGGCTCCCCAGCCTCTGCACAGGCCATTTGACCACAGCTCTCTTGAAGGAGAGAAACAGTGGAGACAGCTCCATTGGTATGCAGGGTTTTAGTTTAAGCAAGTCAAGGAGCGGGAGCAACTGCCAGTTAGTCTGCACCAGCTGGCGCAGGAAGGCACCCCCCAGTGTGATTTACAGGCTTGCTTGGGGGATGCATACTTCAATTTCCATGTGTTCTGTGCCTTGTCTGAGAGACTCACAGTCAGAGGGATGAAGGTAGGACAGTGAGAAGAAACAGGAGAAGACAAAGAGGAGAGCAGCAGCCAGGACATCCCCTTGGGTCAGTGCCTCAGCATAGTGACCTGGCTGCCACACCTGGGGAGGGCTCTTGCTCACACACACAGGGTGATGACAACTGCCTTACTTAGTGGGATAAAAGATGCTGCTTGTACTTTGGGGAAAGCCCCTGTTAGATGACTTAGTGGGTTTATCTAATGAGTCACCAGTGAGGCAGGCTCCCCACTGATACCTGGTGCATCTTGTATTCCAGTAAATAGGGTAACACACAGTATGGTGGTGCTTGTAGTTTTAAATAAGATGAAGAATATGATGCACCAATGCGGGGTAAGATGCTCCAGAGAGAGAATACCTCTTGCTTGTGCCTGGGGGTGGTTTCCTGCTCCGGCTGGCAGCAAAGAGAGGATTCAACGTAACCAGCAGGGTCAGTCCAGAGAACTCAGCACACACATTACATTTCAGTTTAATACAGAAGCCTGGGTCAGGCCAGGCATGATATCAGTAGTGGGAGCAGGCCCTACACATACCAGCATGGCCTAGAGATGGCAGCTCCAGCAGTGTGAGCACCCTTGCAGCACCTACTTGGTGCTGCCAGACTCTTAGACATGATATGATGTGGAACTTCAAAAGACCACCTCCCTGGTCCACTGGGCTGGGAGAACAGAAAGAAGGGAAAAAGGACCTGGTCCCAGAGAACTGGAAATAGAGAGCAGAGGCCATAGATAGGATGTTTGGGCTAAGAGCCAGCTGGTGCCAACAGAACAGTGTCAGTGGAGGGACATGCACATGCACATGTGTGTGGCTGTGTGCTCATGTGTATGGGCATAGGTGTCCATGCATGTTTGTGTGGACATATTTGCACATGTGCCTCTGCTGTGACTGGGTCTTTCTGGGTCATGTCTATGTCTGAAGGTTGCCTCCATGTGTGGGGAGGAAGCATGGTACAGGAGAGAGGACAGCAGTGACTGACTCCACCACGAGGGCTGTTAACGCTTCCAGCACAGGCTAGGTGGGGAGATCAGAGCTTGCTGCCACCTTTTGCACCAGAGAGTCTTTTGCTCAGCAGCATGATCTGAAAAGCTTTGATTTTGCCTACAGAGAACTGCAGTGCAGTGTACCCTTTTAGCTGCTCCCAAGCCCAGACTGGCAGTGCAGCATGAGACCAGCAGAGCTATACTGGAGACACTAGGCCTGGTTCTCCTTCTCCACAGTCACCCTTGAGCCTTGGCCACTTCCCTGGGAATTCCAGGGGGCATCCCCTCCCTGGCCAGAGGTACTGAGTCATCTCACAGGCAGGCCCCAGGTGCATTAGCAGAGTGCAGAATTGAGCAGCCCACCATGTTCCCATTCCCTACCTCTCAGTGAATATGGTTTCACTGATAACTCAGGGCCAACTGGGAGCTGGCAGCAGCAGGGATGTCACTAACAGTGCTATCACCAGAGCTCCCTGCCAGAAGTTGCACTGCTGCAGTAGGGGGACAGATTCCAGGGGCCCACTCCAGAGGCAGCCTTTCTGGATCACAGTCCACCCTCTGATGCTTCAGAGCACTTGTAGTTATGTCACTGGCATCCTGGGATGCCTCCTCAACCCAGGTTCAGTCGGGAGATGCCCTGGCTAATCCACAGCAAGAACACTCCTCCAAGCCAGCCTATAAATGGCTCCACTATTGACTCCCCGAAGTTCTGTCCAGCAAGTCCTGTACCTTCAGCTCCTTGATTTTTGTTGGGGTTGTCACCTCCTCATCCTCGGCCTCAGATCTTCTCCTCCCACTGTGCTCACTGTCCTCGTCCCGCTTCTCAGACTCCACCCCTGCGTCGTGGTTTTCGCTGACAGAGGCTGGGCGTGAGAATTCTGTCCAGTGTACAGGAGACAGGACAGGCATTAGAGAAAAAACACTCCCCCCTTCCAGCCAGCACAGGCTGGTTCCTTGCAAGGAAACACTCCCACCTTCCAGCCAGCACAGGCTGGTTCCTTGCAGACATTCTTGTAAGCCTAAAAACAGTCTCATCTGAGAAGTTCCAAACAACATACTCCTCCCTTTCCTTTGGGAGGCAACTTCATAGGCCCAACAGCATTTAGTGCCCTGAGGTCTGGCCTTCCTCTACCTTCTTCTTTGTTCCTGCAACCTGTTGTTCCTCCACCCCTTTGACCTTGCCTGGACTAGAAAGGGAGTTAGCTTCATCCCATTAAACAAGGTTTGCCACCAAGGGGAGCTTGTTCAGCAGCTGAAAGCATTTTCCTGCCAAGTGTAGCCAAAGCCTTAGTCCTTACTTCACTGAGTCAGACTGGGCCCACTTTGGTAATACAAAGGTTTGTATTACCTGTTACACAAACCTTCACCTTGTGTCATCATCATCTGCAACAGTACAAAACAGGTGCAAAGTGGGCATTAGCAGATCCAGCTGGGGAGCGTCACACCCAACCTGCAGGGAGGTCACTGATGACAGCTGCAGAGTAGCAGGGACCCCAGCCCATGGCTTTTCCCTGAGCACAGTCTTCCCAGCTACCTCATCACCATGTATTTATCCTCATTTCTTTCTAATGTGCTGCTGTCTTGCTGCTGGGAGAACTGAACGCACTTCCCCAGGTGCACTCATACACAGCGAGCATGTGTACATATGCTATTAATTTGAAGTAGGTTACTGTGCAGTAAGCCTACCTGGGGAGTATGTCTATACATGCTCCCTTTTGGGAGCAGATTTGCTCCCAATGGGAAGTAGCCTGGAGAGGGCTGCTCCTACTCTGATCTGCCCCCCTGCAGCACCAAGGGGGAACTCCAGCCTCCTCCTGGGTACTAGCTGAGGAGCTCGTAGGGAGCACGGGGCCAGGAGACAGCTGTCTCTTGGCCCTGTACACATTGGAGGGGTCCTGATGTGCATGTGGTGGGAGAGCTGCTGCTGAAGAGCTCTCCCACCCTTTGCACATGAGGACACGCCCTGTGCCTTGTGGGACTTCCCCGTGCAGCCTGAAGCTGACTACAACCTGTCCTGTTCTAGGCCTCGGCCTGGACAGGGAACTCTCCTGGTGCAGAAAGCTCCTGCCCCAACTCCCCGATTAGAGCAAGGGCTGGGACATTCCTCTCTGTGCAGGTCTCACAGGATGTCCTGACTGTTCCTGAAGTTCCTTGACAGTGACCTCCACTGGGAACAGTTCCATGGACAAATGTGGATCCAATTCCCCTTTTTAGCAGCTTCTGCTGGAGCCACACTATCCTTAGCATATCACCCAAGACCAACAGGAGCCATTCTCTACACTGCTGCAGAAGCAGTGTGCAATGCCCTGAGTAAGCTGAAGTCTGGGAGGAGCGCTCAGGAGACCAGAAGGACAAGGCTGTTTAGACCTTAAATTCATCCTCCTGCACGCACATCTGCTGGGGAGTTACTCATTTTCTTTACTGTGCAGGCCCTAAGAATCCCCTGGAGCTCATGCAGCAGCATAAAGTACCAGTGTAGATAGCCAACTGGGCCAAGGAAGGTTAGCATGACAGGCAGGCATGAGAGGCAGTCCCTCTCTCTTTGCTGCCCTCTTGAGGCTGAAGATCCTTGCAAGCCCCAGGTCCTGTGAGAAGAGGCCATAGCAGGGTATCTGAGGGCTCTCCAAAAGACTTGCAGGCAGCATTCTGCCTGATATGCGTATCGACAATGGAGGCTGAAGGCCTGCCTTTCACAGAATGTGTGTCGTGCAGCCAGGGAGAACAGCTGTCCCTAGGCACACACTTGCTGTGCATGCAGAGTATCTCCATGCAGCCAAGTGAAAGTAGGCTTGTGTAGCAGGGGTAGACATAACTGTACCAACTTTATCTAGCTAACCTGGGGAACAACAGTGGCTAAGACACAGCAGCTTGGAGTTCAATACAGCCTGGCCGCCCAACCACATTCTCACAGTCCACAGAGGGCTTGTCTCCATCTGCTCATGTGTGGTGAAGCTTGTGTTGTCATATTTTCACTGTTGTTGCCTGTGTAGGGTAGACTGAAACTAGCAGGGATGCACCTCCCCATGCCATGGTCACACCTTGGCTTTGCTGTACAGACATCCCCTGACAACTCCATCATGTGGCCTTGCTAAAACCATTCCCAGGGCAGACTCACTCAACCACCCTTAGCACAGAGTGAAGAGTCCCCTTGGCAGCCCTGGTGCAACAGCTCTTTTCTGGTAACATGCATGGGCTATTTCCCCTGGGTAAGCCAAAGCAGGAAGATGGCAGTGAGATCACTATGCCAGAGCCAACCTGCCACATGCAGCCCCTTTGTCTAAGCACATCCTCCCTGCTCCCGCCAGGAAACCAATCTCCCTCCCCCTCCCCAATTTGGGGCGTACCTCCATCGAGGCTGCGAGACATGGTGTACCGTTTGCTGGAGGAGCGCTCAAAGAAGGGAGCGGGCCGATCAATGAGGGCACTGGCTTGGCGGGTCTGCGCCTGTGTCCGCCCGCTGTAGCGAAACTTGGAGCCCATCACTAGAAAGCCTTTTGGGGGAGGCTCTGGGGACACCAGCCTGGGAAGGAGGAAAACAGATCATAACTGGAAAGGCCCAGAGGCACCACAAAACACTGTACAACCAGTAACTACAACGGGGGGTTGTTCACTCCAAAGTCTAGTGCTGATCATCTCCTTGTTTGACTTAGAGATCACTTTGGCAGAAGTGTCACCTAGTCTCAGTGTGTAGATGTGAATGGTAGTTGTGGACTGAGCTTGGAGGTGGTGCAAGAAGCTTTAAGATAGTGGGCAGAGCTTGGATAGAGAACATCACTCCCTCCAACCCCTTCCTCAGCACTGCTTTCAAGAGCGGGGCTGTCTCACTACAGAAGTAGAAATCTCCAGCCATTTCCCTGCTGGCTGCTCTCTTTGTCTCCATCTCTGTGGCTGCTTCTGCCCTTTGTATGTGTGAGGGAGCAGATTCACTGTTCTCAAGTGTTCATCGTAACTGAGCGGAAAACCCAACCTGTACATTTTTAGAGTTTTTAACATCTAGTACTCCCTGAGTTCCAGAAAGCATGACCTTGCAGACATTATGGTTTACACTCAGCATGCACTCAAGAGTGGTCTACACTACAAAGTGTATGCTGGGCAGGGGTGTGACATAGCTGTGCCCCATCCCTTCTACGTAAATACATGAGTCCTTTGGCCTGTGCAAGCTGCATTTCCGCTAAGGGGCTTCACTGATTCAGCCATATTGGCAAAGCTTTTATAACAGGGGTAGGCAATTATTTGGGCCTGAGGGCCACATAGGCAGTTTTGGTGAGCTTTTGTGGGTTGGGTCAGCATCCCCACCCTGCTCCACGTGCAACAACTCACCAAAACTCCTTATGTGGGATGGGGCCCTGGGCAGTGGTGTTCAGGAGTGGGAAGGGTATGTGAGGTCAGGATCACAGGATAGGGGTTACAGGTGGTAACAGTGTGGGGCTGGGGCTGGGTCAGAGCCACAATCTGCTGCCTGCATGCCCCCGTGACGGGTGTGGGGTCTGCGGGCAGACTTGCAGAGAGCAGATTGCAGCTCTGCCCCATCCCGGCTCCATGCTCACCGCCCCAAAATCCCAGCCCCAGCCCTGGATGCAGCTCCCTGCCTGCCTGCACACCCTGCTCACATGGCTCCAGCCCTGGCCCCAACCCCAGATGCAGCAAGGGAGCGGCTGGGGGAAGCAGGCAGCACTGGGGTGCCCTGGTCCTGTGCCAGCCTGCAGCTGTCCCCAGGACGCTTGCATGGTGGTGGACGCCCTATACCCCTAGAAAGTATCTTTATCCCCATATTACAGCTGTTGACACAGAAGCATAGCAGGGAGGTCAAGTCAATGGCTCAGAGTCATGCAGTGAGGAAGCAACATCAGGATGAAAGAAATCTGGATCTCTGGATTCCCAGTCCATTGCACTGCCTATTGACCTCCCAACACTGATTTCCAAGGCTCCCGGACTGTCCCAAGGAAGGAGAGCAAGCAATGGGTGGGGTGTGGGGAAGGCAGAGGAGAGGGGAGGAGGAGGGAGCAATTCTCAAAAGAGAACTCGGGATTGTAACATTCTAAAGGGTTTGAACACAGGCATTACCCCAGCTGAGGGGCAGATCTAGGGGAGTGCAGCTGTGCAGTTGCACCTGCTGGATAGGCACTGAAACCTCTAGTCTCAGCTGCCTGGACGCATGTGCAATGAGTTTTCCACCACCCCTTCCTTCCCTTTCACCATTTCATAGATTTCATAGACATTCGGGCTGGAAGGGACCCCGAAGGATCATCAAGTCCAGTCCCCTGCCCCAGGGGCAGGAAGTTAGCAGGGATCATAGGATCCCAGCAAGATAAATATCCAAATGTGTCTTGAAGGTGTTCAAAGTGGGTGCTTGAACTACCTCCGACGGCAGTCTATTCCAAACCTTGGAGGCTCGAACAGTAAAGAAGTTCTTCCTATGTCAGCCTGAATCGGTCTCGGCGAAGTTTGTGACCGTTCGATTTTGTCATCTCTTGGGGTGCTCTGGTGAAAAGGCACTCCCCCAGATCCTGGTGAACGCCCCTGATAAACTTATAGATGGCCACCAGATTGCCCTTGAGCCTGCGCTTTTCCAGGCTGAAGAGTCCCATGGCTCTCAGCCTCTCATCATAAGGTCTGTTTTCCTGACCTCTGATCATACGCGTGGCTCTCCTCTGGACTCTCTCAAGCTTCTCCACATCCTTTTTGAATTGTGGAGCCCAAGACCAGCTGGTGTGGAGAGGAGATCCATACTGGATCTGCTATTGTTCTAGCTGCCTCCATCTCCTCTTGACTTCAAGATCAAATGCAGTGAGGAGCTGGAGTGCAGTGCATAAAGCCACAAATGCATTTTCCTAACGAAGAAGTCAAAGGGGAGGCCAATGCATATAAACAAGGAATGGGCTGCGGATTGTGGAGCAGTAGGAGCCAAGTGGGCTACAGGGAGAAATATAGAGCAGTGGGTAGGTAATGCTGTTCCAACACCCCATATCAAGATGCATTTAAGCATCACTTCTCTGGAGAAGCATGGGCGTTTCGCTGCCTGCATTTCTACTGTCTTGCCCCTCCACTTACAAGGCCTGGACTTTAGGACATTCCTCCATAGTACAGCCCCATGAAAAGCTCTGCCTGGATGGCCCGGGGTCAGATATGTTTGCATTGTGTGGGGCCAGGTAGGATTACACTAATACTGAGAGGCAGTCATAATCAGGGATTTTTTCCCTTGTCATTTTAAATAAGTAAGCCTTGGGAGTTGCCATGGTGGCTGCTTTGAGTGAGAACTTGAAAGAAAAGGACATCATGGAAAGTGAAGCGGGGCAAAGGATGGTGAAGTGTGTCTTGATGTATTAAACATTGGCTCATCAGCTCAGGAAACATTTCAGATGGAGATTAAAGCAGAGACCTGTGTGCCATGAGGCCAGGGAAATGCAGCACAAGGATCTCACTAACACCGACTCTCCTTCCCCAGCCCACACCCTACCTCACAAGCGAATGCCTCACCCACTCCCTGCAGCACAATGCTGGGTACAGAGGGACACAGAGCTCAGACCAAGACTAGATTGGGGGTAAAATAACCATGGAATGAGAGTGGAGAAGGATGAAGACCAGTTTCCTTCCGGCGTGGAGCAGAAGGAATTGTGGATGGGGGAGGGCAAGTGAAGAAGATGGCCCCTCCCAGTGTGAAACAGATGGGTCTGGGGGGGTAAAAGGGTAATGATCCTTCCCTATGTGAGGCAGAAGGGGATCTGGGGTAAGAGGTACTGAAGGAAGCACCATAGCTGCCCAAAACAAGTGTTAGGGAAATGGCCTCCCACCCATCTGCAGCCTGCACAGACCTCACAGTGGGGGCACTAATGAAGAAGGCTTAGCCAAGAGAAGGGCACCAGGAGGGCAGGAATTAGAAGCACTTCCTCACTGTCCTCTCTGAGCTGTGCCCCATGCTGGGTGGTTGTTGTACAGACCTTCATCCTCCATCTCCTCACCTGAAGAAGGTGTGGTGCTCAATGCAGACTTTCCAGAGCCTCTTAGCAGAGCGGTGGTTGGGGAGCTTGAAGCCAATGGTGCTCTCAAACTGCTCATACTGGAAAGAGACACAGACACAGTGTTATTGTTATAGTTCCTGCTTTTGCAGTGACTTACTGCTCAGCTCTGGGTGAGGCTTGACATGGGGCCTGCCTTCCCTCTGAGGGTTACTTCCTGGAGTGAGAGCAACAAACAAGCTATGCCATAAACACTTCCCAAACTGGCCCTGGTGATATTCTGTTCAGAACTGGTTCCAGCAGCTTCCCTAGTCACAGGCAGGGTCAAAGTTCACACAGCAGCTAGTTGACATTGTTTGGCTGAAAAGTATTCCTCAACAGTAAATGCCCTTTCAAAGCAAGAGAAATTTTCTCATGAAATTTAAAGAAAACTCAAAACTTTTCTCTTTTGTTTAGGCGGAAATTTCTCAGAACCCTTCACTTTTTGAAATATACTCCCCCCTTTCCATACCTTCTGGAAAAGAACGGGAAGAAAGGTGTTTTCTCCATGTAAGTCAATTGTTTGATTTCATTTTAATACTTAAATTTGAAAATTTTGGTCAAAAATTAAAACAAAATGTAAAAATTCCATTGGTCATCATGTTCTTAATGAAATATAAAACACACAAAGAGAAAGAAAAACCCTCAGTTGGAGTATCTTCTGTTTATAGCCTGCTACAACTTCCAACCACATCAAGCTTCAACTAAGAGGCATGTGGGGAAAGATGGCATATGTATATGCCCTCTGCCCCTACTAGATGCTCTGATGTAGATCAGTTTTCCAGTGGGAATAAGAGGACACAAGAAGTAAAAGATCTGCTCAAGGTAAGAGCCCATTATCTGTAAAACAAGGATGCTGCTGCTTTTTGTTTGTCTGTCTCAAGTACCTAAACTGTCAGCTCCCTGGATAGGGACTGTCTCTGGGTGTGAAGTAGTGAGCACCATAGGGATAGGTCATGGTTGGGGCCACCCAGTGCTACTGTTGTACAAGCACTAACAGACCTGGCCAAGACTGGAAGTCTTTTGTGAGAGAGACTTCCTGATATCACCAGAGGGAACAGGGGAATTCTCCTCCATTTCCATCCCTCACTGAGACTCTCCTGTGAGAAACCCACCTCGCCAGGGCGGATTTTGATGTAGAAGTTGCTCCTTTTGTAGGAAATCTTGAGTATCTTGGGCCAGGCAAAGCGATTTATCCGCAGCCTGTCTCTGTAGATCAGGAGGCCGTTGGCACAGACGCCCAGCATGATGTCAATGCCCTCTGAATCCTGAGGCCAGAGGGGAAGGAAAAACAGAGGAGGGTTAGTGTTAGGCAGGCCGTCAGCCCTCCAGCAAAAGCCTCTGAGTGTGGGTTAGCAGGACATCTCGTACTAGCCTTTCCAGGCTCTTGTCTGACTGGTAGTTTGTATCTACAGCCAACAGTAAAACCCCAGAGCTGTATTCCCTGCTGCCTTCTGTGTCCCAGTGGAGACGCATGGCTTTGCTATGCTTTCTCCTCAGGAAAGAGGCTAGAGGGAGACAGATGCCCTAGTGCAGGACAGGGTTAGAGGCTTTGGGAAATGCTGGGGCTGCAGTTTGGGTCTGAGAGACTCAGGGGTCCATCACAATGGTGATTCAGTTTTCTAACCCAGCTGTGGTCACAGAGTGGCATGTGCTGACAGGATCACTTCAGCTCAGCTAGAAACACCTAAGGGACTTAAAAGATCTTAAAGACTACTTTGTATTAAGTGACTACATGCTGCTTACTGTCATTTTCCTGGTGGAAGTGGGATTTTGGCTTCGCCTGGCAGTAGCCTGTTATAAGAGGGGAAAGTCCTAGTGGTACTCTAGCCTGGAGCCAGGGCTCCTTTGTCTTCTGGGAGGCCTGACAGCTTCTTCACCTCTGGCTATCATTAGTTCTGGGTTCTGCCATAGGCAGGTTCCCCACAGCCTCTGCATACTGTGTACACATCTTTATCACTGTGGAAATGCCATGACCATGTGCACACATTTTTCCCCCACAGCTTGAGCGAATCGAGGACCTCTCTTGCAGACCACACAGCAGCCCCAGAGCACGCTGGAGCTGCAGCTGGAGCCAGGCTTGTGCTTGGACAGGAGGCAGGGAAAGAGGTATTTTCATATAATACTTGGGATTGCAAATGGGGAATGGGACTTCCAGTCACTGTGACCCCCTGGGGAGCCGAATTCAAGTGTTCCTGGAAGGGTGCTTATTCCAATCTGGAAACTGCTAGGTGCACACAAACATTGTGCCAGTGGAACAGCACTGCTAGAGTACTTATGCTGCTCACGGAGCTGATTTGTCCCTGTCAGTCAAAGTCAAGGGGTCTATCAGCGAGACTCAAACAGTGTGGATGGATGTGAGGCAGTGCTGAGGGGGAAGGTTTTGCTAGCAAAATACACTACTGTAGCCCAGGTCCAAGTCCCAGACTCTAAAGTGACCTGGGAACTGAAGCTGCTTGTCTGCATAGAGGGCAGAGGCAGTACAATCGGAGCAAGTGCAAGTTACCCCCACACTGCCCTGCCTGCAGGCTCCAGCCTGCTCTGGAATGACTCTGTGCCGGGTCTGCAAGGGAGTGAGTTTGGTCTTCGAGGCCTAGTCACTCTGGGCTCCACTGCTGAGATGGCTAATGCCAAGTGCCATGTGGATACCTGTGGACTGAGAACCAGGCTAAGAACCACCTGTGCATTTTGACAAGCTGCCAAAGCGAATCTCAACTTGTGACAGCTTCCATCTGCTGCCAACCTGGCCTGGATTGACAGCTTGGCCTGTGACCCTAGGTGCAACAATGACCATCCTGGCTTCCTTTGAGCAGGACTTCCCAGGCTTGTTGTTGCAAAGGCCTGGCAACTGGTTATAGGATAAGCTTACTGTGTATAACACACACCACAGAAAGCAGCTCAGACCATCTCCAAGTGCACCCTAGACTTGTCAGTTTGTTCTGCAGGCTCCAGCACTAGGGGGCAGCAGAGAGCTGCTGTGATTTCTCAGAGACCAGGGTGGGTGGGCTGGCAGGGCAGGGGAGTGGGAGCACTATGGCCATATACATGAGCTGCTGTATAAACAAGTACTAAATGACTGTGCAATAACCAGAGTTACTGTGCAGTACTGTTGCCAAATGGCCTTTTTGTGATGCTAAGTGAGCAGTTGCCTGAAAACTACTGTGCATTAGAGTCGCATCACACTCCCTGCCATGCAACGCTACTGTGCAGTCTGCATTTCATGTAGATGCGGCCTGTATGTATGCTCAGATCTGCAGACCAGGCTGCTGCATACCGGTCATCTTTCTGCACTGGCCACATTTCCTGGGTGCCCTTTGGTCCCAGATATCACAGTAAGGAGGCCCCAAATGAGCACGCAGAAGTTTCCAGTTCCTTTCACTCCAGCTTGGAAGTTTTCAGTGCTGCTACTCCCTAAGAATGTTAAACACTGGGATGATGCAACTGGAAGGCAGGAAATCACATGAACAGCATCAAAGCATATAGGAGGACCCATGAAGCATCATGATAGACAGAGGCTGCTGTAGGCTGAAGGGGTGAGGCCAGAGAGACTGATAAAGAACTTCTGAGAGGGAGGAAGGGAGAGACAGGAACTTAAGGGGGAGCAGAGAGAGGCCAAGAGGGTCCAAGAACATTTCCTGGTCTCAGTCTCCACTCCAGGTCCATGGGACCCAGTACCTTGGCATGATGCAGGTCAACACCGTACATAGAGAGCTTCTTTGCATTCTCCAGGAAGTGAATCTCTGCTTCACCAGGTGTCATGCCCCTGCAGAGGAGATAGGGAGTAACAAAAGACTAATAAGGAACACCCTCCCCTTCCCTCCCCACTGCTGTACTGTGTGGAGGACCAGGTGCCTGCCCAGGGAGCTGAACATGGGATGTTTTCAGCAGGGCCCCTTCAGTTGCCATATAAGCAGCTGCATGCAGGTCTCAACCACTCACATCCCAGCCTGGGGAAGTAAGTGCAGCACCAGGGCTGCAGAGAAGCTCACCTGTAGGTCTTGTGCAGCTCCATGATCCGCTCCTCCAGCTCCTTCGTTTGGTTGGGCGCGAAGCGGAGCTCACTGACATAATTGCCCACATGTTCCTCAGAGTCATAGTCTCCCAGCTCTGCCTGCACGGCATAGGAGCCCAGCAGGGCGTGTGTGACGAAGGAGCATGGCAGGCGCCCTGTGATGATGTCAGCTCGCAGCTGCAGACATAGGTAGTACCTGAGGGGAGAGAAGCAGGGGTCAGGTGGTAGGAGTAGGGACAAGAACACAGTCAAATTCTCCCCAGGAAGAAGCAGGCCGATGAGCCCTTCAGGCAAATATTAGGGCAGGCATGGGCAATTATTTGGGCTGGAGGGCCACTTAGGGAGTTTTGGTGAGCTGTTGTGGGCCAGGTCAACACCTCCATCCTCTCAGGTCATGCTGGGTCAGAACCCCTCCCATCCTCCCGGACCACAACAGCTCACCAAAACTCCCTAAGTGGTAGATTACTAGACCAGTCCAGGGATGCCAGACAGAGTGAGTTGGCAGGGGCTCCATGGAGACTGGTCTGGGACCCCTGCAGGCAGGGCATGCTTGGCTGGGTGGATGGGATGGGGCTGCAGGCGATGGGGGACCTGCATCCAGGAGCATGATGGGCTGGGATCACAGGGCAGTAACAATGCAGGGCTGGGCCCAAGGCAGAGCTGTGATCTGCTCACATGGCCCTGCACTCTCACCACCCCTCGATCCTGATCCCAGCCCCAGCTGCCTGTCCCACTTCCAGACACTACTTCTCACTTGCCTGCAGCCCCATCCCATCCAACCAGCTGAGTGCATCCTGTCTGCAGGGGCCCTGAGCCAGTCTCTATGGAGACCCTGCCTGCTCACCCACTGCGTCTGGTACCCCCAGCAGTGGGTGCAGGGCAGATGGACTGGGGTGCCTGGGCAGCTGGATTGGGGTTGGTGGCAACACTGGCAGTGGCAGACCTACATCCCCAAGGCTGGGATGTGAGCCACTGCCAGTGAACTGCTGCAGAACTGAGTCCAGCTGCTATGTTGCACTGTTCCAGTCCCACTACATGCCGGGGGTGATGCGACCAGCTGCACATACCTTGGCCTGGGCTGCACCCTGTGCCTGGGCCAGGTGGGACTGAAGGACCTGCCACGGGCTGGATAAAATCCCTTTGCAGGCTAGATCTGGGCTGCAGGCCATATTTTACCCACCCCACGTGCTCCCTAGACTTACCTTCTGGCTGTCTGAGTCACAGAATGTGCAGTCCAAACCCACCAAAGTAACAGAGAGGGTGGGAGAATAACATCCTGGCCCTGCAAGCAGGATGGATCCCATACCTACAGTCAAACAGGACCACCCCACCTGGCAGGTCACCCAAGAAGACCCCACAACCCTACAGCCCTGCACTCAGGTCAGATCTGCCCACCTAGCGCCTCCATAATCCCCAGTCACAGGAACAAATGGGGCATCACATGGTCACGGCCTGGACACAATGAACCAGCCTCCCCTTCAAATGCAGGTGCAAGCACACAGCCATGTCCCACACTCCCACTCACCCCACACACTGAGCTATTCCCCTCCCTGACACTAACTCAACCCATGTGACAAGCAGGATAGTCACATCCCCTACACCAGGTCACCCCAACACACAAAGACATCCTCAAGTATGGATACATACTATGGACACACCTTGGCTCTCAGGGAAGTTTCTCACACACATGCACAAACACACGTGGCCCCATCCACACGACCCCTGGCTCCCTGGCCAGCTGCTGTCTCTTTCCCAAAATGAGCACTATAATACACTGACTGCCCCTTGGTGCCTCACCTTGTGATGTCCTCGGTGAGTTGGGCAGGGTCAGGGGGGTAGAACTTAACGGTGAAAGCAAAGTTCCAGGGGCCACCTGCCAAAAGGAAGAAACAGGATGAAGGGGGCATCTGCTTGGCCAGGACACAGTCCCCCCCAGCACCTACCCAGACTCAATGTGTGCCTGACCCTTGCTGCTCAGGTGTCCTTGTCCAAGGCTGCATTCCACCCCACCTTGATGCCCAGTATCCCTGGAGCAGGAAAGAGGCAACTCCTTGGGGCTGAGCACCAAGGTGTGCGTGGCTTTGTGGAGGCTGCCTCCCAGCTGACCCAGCAGGTGGAGATCGTGGACACCAGCTCCAGCTCCTCCTCTGCTCAGAGCAGAAGCTCGACATCTTCCTGTTGCCATGGCAACAAGCCCTGTATTTCCCAGCAAGGTTACCTGGGGTCTGCTGTGGGAGAGATCCATCCCACAATGCCTCTGCACAGCCCAGCTACCCTTCCCCTGACCCAAGGGGAACCTGCACACAGCCAGCCAGGGCAATCCTCCTCCAGCTGGCCAGGACTCGAACCCGCTGTAAGTGGTCTTCTCCATGCAGCCCAGCCTCTCCCCAGACAATCCCAGAGCAAGGAAGGAAGCCCTCTCTCTGTGGAACTGCCACACGGACGTGGCAGGATGGACATCTGACTCAGCCGGACTGGATACTGAGCGTTTCCTACCTCTATATATAAACAGTGCTGAAAATATTCACTGCTGATGGAAAGAGTAGGGATTCTTGCCTGGCCAGAGGTATTCTGCAGCCCCCAACAGAATGTGGTCATTGTAATGACTTGTGGTATTATGTGGCACATCCTCCCACCTGGGAATTCAGTAGCCAAGGTCATGGACTGGCCCCCAGGGTTTGCAAACCTCACTGGCAGAAGGCAGCTGGGCCCCCTTGGCAGAGAGTAGACCTCACCCTCTCCATTGATTCCAATGCCTCCCAAGGCAAGACTCCAAGGCAGGCAGATGATGGGGAGGGGTGAAGCAATTCTCCTTTTCCTCACACCAGCATCATCCCACTGATTTCATGTAAGTCACCCATGATTGACACTAGTGTCAGCAGAAGAGTCACCCAGGGAGGCCCAGCAGTGTGCTATGAGGAGGCTTAAGGAAAAGCAGAAATTTCCTAGCCAACTGCAAAAAGAAAGGTGTAAGGAACCTGGCATTCATGGGGCATCTGCTACATGGCACTGCTCTGGGTGTCAGCATGCCCCCTCTCCCAGTGGAACACAGAGCACTGGGCATGCCATCCATCCCTGGCATTCTCCAGCTTTCCTCTGCTATGACAACAGTGGCCTGATCTTTGGAAATGTTGAGCAGCATCTGTAATTCACCTCTACCTCAGCTGGACTCCCAAGTGCTTGGTACCTTTCAGAACCAGAATCTTGTGTCTTATTTCTGTCACAGACTCTGTCCTTCCTCTCTTTTCTTTCTAGGGAAGCTGCACCAAAGCAGTGCAGTTACCACCTTGTTAACTCAAATAGGGATTCAATCTTGGCTGGGCCAGAGTTTTTTTGAAAGTTTGATGCAAGGAGTGACTGAACTGCTCTGGATCCCCATGGGCTACTTACTGCGGATCTGCTTTTTGATTTCCTTGGAGGGGTCCAGCCAGTTCTGAAACAGTAAGGCACAGAGTGTCAGGGGGAGGGGTCACAGCAGCTGCTGGCAGAGGGTGGTGGGTTTGCAGAAGGTTTAGCAAGACAGCTGCACCCAGGGACGTGCTCTCTGGACTTACCTTCTGGCTGTCTGAGTCACAGAATGTCAGGCCAAAGTAATCCTTCTCCAGCAGGTTGAGGTGCTCACACACCATATCGAAGAGCACCTGACCCCGGGCATGCTTCTGCAAGACATACAAATGGGCAGGGGAGTAAGCGCAAGTTACAGCCAGAGCACCTGGGTGTCTTTTTCCTCCCTGTTCCCAGGCCTGTCACATTGCAGCTGCCAAGTGGAATGTAAAAGCTTCACCCACATGCCCGCAAGATGCAAGTCTCTACCACATGCTTGCAACCCACAGGAATAGAGCACAGTCACAGCGCCAGGACACAATTGTCTGCCCTTGTGTCCCCTTGGCACCAGCCATCCTAGAGAGATCAAGGAGAGGAGGCTGGGGAGGAGGCTGATATTGGATTCTTTGTGGGTGTGGTACAGTGATTCTAATGGGGTGCCCTAAGAAGATTTTAAGGGTGCCATAGGGTGTTGTGCAATATTAGCACTGTTAGGTGTGCAAGCACCTACACGTGATTCAAAAGATAAACCCAGATATTTCAAGCAGAAATCCATAGTGTAAAAAACATTCTGAACTGCCATAGGCTTTCTGAGGTCTTTGCAACAGAATTCCTGTCTCAAAAATGCAAGAAATCAGTCAAATAAGTTTAAATCAGGTGTTGCTATATTCTGAAGAGTTAGGGACGGGTGCCTTGAGTCTGATATAGTTGAGAACCACTGATGTGGTTGCAGGCATGTATCTCTTGCCATAGAAATGCACAATGCCTCCCAGACAGTGCAATGGGATTCACTCGGACAGCGTCCACACTCAGCACTTTGTGGGCTTTACCTTACTGGGATCTTAGAAATCCTGGCACAGCTAAAGCCTCAGCCAGAGCTCCCTGCCTCAGCTGCTGCACTTGGGGTATTCCTCCAGGAATACTCTTCTGCCTTAGTGCTCTAATGCCCTCTTCCTAGAGAGCCAAACCAGCTCACCCAGATCCATGGTGGAGCTCATGTGCCTGCAGAAATGAATAGCATCAGCAGCAATGTCCAGGGCTCTAATACCTGCAAATGCAGCAGGTGAAAAGAGCCCTAGTACCCTGTTATAGGACAGCATGAGCATTTGGTACTCAAAGATGGGATGCAGCAGGGATCGAGCTAATGCTTTCACACCTCCCAGTTCCTAAGAGGTTGTGGTACCAGGCTAGACCAGGGATCCAGTTAGTCCAGAAACCTGTCTTTGATCAGTACCAGACATTTAGCAGGAAAGTTCACAAAACCTCAAAGTCTACAATTTTGGAATTGTCAGACAGGAGTTCCTTTCTGACCCTGCCGGTCAGCACCTAGCTATTGCCCTGGGGCAGAAAGATTTTTACTCCCTATCACGTTATCTTTACCCTTTTTAATTCCATTACATACATGGATGTTCTCATTATTCCACTAAATATTCAACCCCCATTCAAATCCTACCAAGAATGTGCCTTCCTGCTAGCTTACAGCAGTGAGTTCCACAGCGTAATTACATGGAGAAAAGAAAGATCTCCTTTGATCTCTTCTGTGTGGTGTCCTTTAATTTTACTGTCTCCTAGCCCTTCTGTATCAGATTTAGTAAATGGGAGCTTCTGATGTCCCTTCTCCAAAACCATCCATTATTGTATATATATCATATCCTCTCCAACATGCCTTCTCTCTGAATAGAAGGCTTAGACTTTTCCTGCTATGGGAACTTTTTTCATTCCTCTACTAGTTGTAGTCCTCATCTCTGGGCTCCTCTTTCTTTCTCAATTTTTTTTGAGCTAGGCATTTTACATATCACAGTTTGTTGAAGCAAGGGGTGTTTTTAATGCCAGCTATTTTACACATCGCAGTCCAGTCAACTAAGGCAAAAATATACCAAAAAACCACCTTTTCCTTGGTGGAGGCTCCTCGCTGATTGATATGGTGATTGGAACATGGCAACAATGCTGTACTTTTAACTTGACTTAGCTACAAATGGAGTTTTTCAAAGTTTCAGTTCGTTAGTGATAGCTTGTTCTATAAACAAAAACCGTACCAGCAACAAAAGGCAAGAGGGTGCCAGGCCACTAAGTTGCTGCTACTTACACTATACATAGGAGTAGCATTCTGATAAAGAAACAGCAAGACACAGCATGTGTGCTGGGTAGGATGCAGATATTTGTTTGCGTGTCCATGCATGTTTGTTGTCAGGTAAATATTAATCACAGACTTCTAGGAAGAATTAATAAATCCACATGCCGTGTTAGGGCTCAGAAAGGTTCATCTTTGCAACTTCAAAAGATCATTACAGTTGCAATTGTGATCCAAGCTATTACTTGCTTATGGGCACTTTCATCTTTGTGACAATCAGTTGTTCTGCAGCAAAGTAAAGCTTTTTGTAACAAATGGCATTGTTAAAAGTGACAGATTAAGTATGGAGCTCCTGGAGTGCTGAGAACAAAGGGATAAACTTCACTGACTCAGTCCTAGGTCCAGACCTTTGTCCTCACACCAGCTGCACTGGAGGACTTCATATTCCCATTCATCTATGAAAAACTTGAGGCCATGGTCTTACATTCATTAATACCCAGCAAATAAGACTTCTGAGACTTACAGCCTGGGACTGGACTGATGTCTGCTCCATCTATTAAACTTCTAGTTCACTTGCACCTGCAACCAAGATTAAAAAAATCCAGCTGCTCACTCCTCAGGGGCAAGTGTAAACCTCCCTGGTGAGTATAGGGCACTAAGGTCCCCTCCACATATTGCATGTTAATCATGCAATTATTTAGGCTGGAGGGCCAGTTAAGGAGTTTTGGTGAGCTGTTGCAAGCTGGGTCAGCCCTCCCTTTCCTCCCCACAACCTCGCTGCGCTGGCTCAGAACACGCCCCCCTCCCCCCGCAGCAGCTCGCCAAAACTCCCCAAGTGGTAAGTTATTAAACCAGTCTGGGGGTGCCAGACAGAGTAGGCAGGCAGGGTCTCCATGGAGACCAGCCTGAGACCCCCAGGGGCAGGGTGCACTCAGCTAGGATGGGGCTGCAGGCAGTTGGGGAGTAGTGTCCAGGAGCATTACAGGCTGGGATTGCACAGCGGTGACAGTATGGGGCTGGGGCCTAGGGCAGAGCTGTGATCTATTCCCCACACAGCCCTCCACTGTCATTTCCCCACAGTCCCAATCCTGGCCCCAGCCACTTGTCCCACTCCTGGACACTACTCCCTGCTCATCCATGGCCCCATCCCATCTGCTCAGCTGAGTGCACCCTGCCTGTGCAGGGTGGGCAGGCCAGGGTGTCTGGGCTGCAGGGTTAGGGCCAGCAGCAACACCGGCAGCAACAGCCAGAGAGAGCCACTGTCACTGGGGCCGCTGGGAAGTTGAGTCTGGACACTGCACCACACAGCTGAGCCCTGCTGCATACCTGGGGGCAGCAGGAGTGGCTACATGCGACATGGATCAGGCTGTCCTCAGCTCCTGGTCTTGGTGGGGCCAAGGGACCTGTTGTGGGCTGGATAAAATCCCTTGGCAGGGTGGTTCTGGCCCATGGGCCATATGTTCCCCACTCCTGCCTTAAGCTGTGATCTAGCTACACATTGAAATAGTTAACGAGGGATAAAACAAGCAATCAACTACAAAGTTATTTCACAAAAAATGTGTAATAACTTTGTAGCTTGTTCTAAGCAGACCATTAACTGAACTTGGGGCCAAGTGCTCTCAGCCACAGGGGTACAGCACCCACTGCCAGCCCCTCGGCTGACAAGGCTTGTAGTGGTGGCAGCGTTCCTGGTGTTGCTCCTGCTGTGAGCTTTGTCACCTATGGGGCTTGCAGCAGAGAGAATGCTGTGCCATGTGAGCTCACTGGATGACACAGCAGAGGTAGGGTCATAGACTGTGGGGTTCGCAGTGGGGGGGTGGGAAGGCAGAGCAGTGGGGAGAACACTGCCTCTGTGAGCTTCAGCAGCTATGGGGCTTGCAGTGGCAGCAGTATTCTTCCTGCTGCAAGCCCTGAAGTTGACACCGGCTGAGGGGCTTCCAGTGGGGGCAGCACCGGGAACACTGCCCCTGATGCGAGCTCTGCAGCCAACATAGCTTGTGGTGGCAGCACAATTCCCAGTGCTGGCCCTGCTGTGAGCCCTGCAGCCAATGTCAGCTGCAGGATCACAGCAGGGGTAGCGCATCAGTTGCAGGGCTTGCAACTGTGGAAGCTAGTGTAGGGCAATAAGTCACAATGAGATCTAATGCACGATCCCACAACTGCGCCCCCTGCCATGCATGTTTGGCATGGCAGGAAGCATACTTCCGTGCGTTGCACATTCGATCCCATTGTTCCTTTACCTTCTTTCCTTTTCAGTCTCCTTGTGACAAGGTATTTAGCAGAATTTGCCATTCCAAATTGGTTGGAATCTGACAGGGCTACCTGTGACCTAGTGATGTACTGGTGAGAATACAGTGCACTGGGACGGCAGAACTGGTGAGTCCAAGAGGAAACTGATATTTGAAAATTTAAAGTTTTCCTCTGTAAAGTTGGTCTTGCTGGAAATGCTTTGGTTTTTCCAGCTCAGCCAAATTAAACAGATCATTTTTAGTTTATTCTCTTTATTCAAAACGGGGAAAAGGAGGGTTACACCATTCTGGGGGGTCCTTTCTTTCATTTATTATTTGTCCCTTTTTTTCCTGATGAGGGAAGAACAAACCAGCAAAAAATATATAAAATGGGGAACCTGTAATTTCAATTCAACCAAACCTGATTTTTATCCCAGATTGACATTTGTAATTTCTACAAAAAATAGATCTTTCAAGAAAAAATGTCATCACTTGAAACTTTTCATAGAAAAATCCACTGGTTTCTGGCCGCTTCTACCAGTGGCTCCTGAGATCTGGTCCCAGTTCTGACACTGACTCTCCACGTGACCCTGAAAGTCACTCTCCCTCTCTGTACTTCACCCCACCATCTGTTCAGTACTCGGGGGTTAATACCCTCTATGCTAGGGGCCAGGTGGGTGCCAGTTTGTTGTTGTAGGGACCACATCTTAGTAGGGAAATTGCTTTGTGATGCTGCCCTCCCATCTGCAACAACTCTGACATTCCCCTCAATGAGTGTGTGTGCTCCACCCCCCATCCCCCTCCCCATTTCACCCTCATTGAAACCACATGATTCTGTCACTCCTGCCATTTATGATCATGGGGGCTCTTCTCTTCTTGACAATGCTGCACAGGGACCCAGGCCGGGAAGCGATCTCCTGGGTCTGTGAGCCCAGGCCCTGCTACTGTAGGCAGCCACATCATCTACTTCAAACCCCTCCCCTCCCACCATGCCCCCATGGTAATCCCAGCCATAGTTCAGACAGAAAAAGACATTTAGTGCATTCAGCCATCTCTGAGTATGATGGAGCAGCTGGAAACAAGCCAGCTCTCCACAAGCCACCAGGAAATGCTCTGCAGACAGCAACACTAGAACCAGTGAGTCCATATGCCAAAAGCTCATGGGGTATCAGAAGTGCTAAGCTCCAGGGTACAGTGTGCTGTGGATGCCACTAGGCAGACCCAACAAAAACCTCCTCTAGTTTAGCAGGTTCTGCCAGCCTGCTAGGTAAGAGAGTTGTCTCACCCCCGAACAGGCAGAGGAGGCAGTTGGGCCATAAAGAAGGCAGAATGACCCATACTGCAGCCCCACACAGTAACATCTGCAAAGAGGCCGAGTGGCAAGGCTCCTGAGCTCAGGGGTACTTGCAGGAGCTGGAAGCTGCACCTCCTGCTGTGGTTCTCTCTATGCTCTCTTCTCTGTGATGGGCTAATTACAGCTCTGCACACTGCAATCAGCTCCCTTAATGATGCCAGCTGTTGTCACATTTAAGAGTGTTCACACACACATGCAACCATGCACACATGCCTAGGCTTTTTTCTCACTGTGACATACAAATAGCAGGCAGCCCACACAAACACATGAGTCAGGCTTGTTTTCTGGGCCCATCCTTGTGTCTGTGTATGTGCGCGCATGTGGATATGTGCACGTATGTGTGTGTACAGGCATGTATGCTGTCATTATTACACACAGTGCCCACAGCTGCCCATATGCCTGTCCACATGACCTAACCAACAGAAACACCTCCCGCCCTACCTGGCTTACTGCAAGGGAGAGCTATGCACTGGAGATGGGAAAATCACAGGATGGGGCTGTGATAAGAACCTATATAGTTCTTGAGAGCATCATCCAACACCTGTGTGCCTTTGTGTATCTATGTGTACATGGGTATAAATGTGTGTCTCTCTATGTAGGTCTCTGTATTTGTTTCTGAAACATACAGTGTGTGAGTCTCTATGCATTTGCCTATCTATATACATACACACCCTTCTGGCTGTACAGCTGTGCATCTTTACATCTCAGAGTGTAGGAAAGTACATGTCCCTTTGTGTGTCACTAAGTATACAGACAAGGTTCTTTGGGTAAATGTGATATCTTTTATTAGACCAACTAAATTTGGTTCGTCTAATAAAAGATATCACATTTACCCAAAGAACCTTGTTTGCCTATGTCCTTAGACCAACATGGCTACAAACAACAACCCCGACAAAGTATACACGCACAAATATGTAACATCCTTCTACTTTTAGGTGGAGATGGTGGCACTGGTCTGACACTTCTTGTTAGAAGACCCTCTTTTCCATTGCTTATAACTGCCAAATTTGAACTGTTTGGGCTCAAATTTTATATCCCAGGTGCCTGCCTCAGCCTGGAATCTTTGGTAAGTTTTAGTCAAAATGGTTTTGTCATTTCTGAGAACAAGGTTAGAGAAAAATAAGCTGTTTTTTTCCATTATAAACTCTGGTGACCTGTCCTTGCAGAAACCATACTGCTGCCATTTTTTGAAGCAAAGTAGGAGGTGAAATCTAGCAAGGGTGGCAGGGTTGCTTTTGTATTACCCATGTGTCTTTTGCCATCACTGTGAAAGTCCATCCAAATCTGTCCAAAATATAAGCCTTGGAAAACTGCAGTTACCACATGTTCTATATACTTCCTGGAGCTTCATAACTGTAGGTGGGGAGGAGTTGAAATTAGAAAGGAGGTAGATTGGCTGGGAAACAGATAGGAGCTAAGGGCCAGTAGACAGAAAGGATGCGAAGGGAAAGGCTGGGTCTCACTGACTTATGAGGAAAGGCTGAATGAGCTAAGGTTATTTAGTATGAAAAAGAGAAGACTGGGGGGATTTGATAACAGCCTTCAAATACCTAAAGGGCCATTATAGAGAGAATGGAGATGATTTTTTCTCTTTGGCTATACAGGACAGAATTAGGAACAATGACCTCAAGCTGCAGAAAAGGAGATTAGGAGGAATTTCTGACTATAAGGATAGTTTAGCATTGGAACAGGCTACCTAGAAGCTGTGGAATCACCATCCTTGGAAATTTCCAAGAGCAGGTTGGACAGATACTTGGCTGGGATGATTCAGTCAGGGATGATCCTGCACTGAGAAGGGGGAGGTTGTTTCTAGCCCTACTTTCCTATGATTCTATGACAGAGCCAATGAGGGGATAAAGTGTGAAGAAAGATCATAGAATCATAGAATATTAGGACTGGAAGGGACCTCAGGAGATAATCTAGTCCAACCCCCTGCTCAAAGCAGGACCATTCCCAACTAGATCATCCTAGGCAAAGCTTTATCAAGCTGGGCCTTAAAAACCTGAAGGATGGAGATTCCACCACTTCTCTAGGTAACCCGTTCCAGTGCTTCACCACCCTCCTAGTAAGAAAGTTTTTCCTAATATCCAAACTAAACCTCCCTTGCTGCAACTTGAGACCATTGCTCCTTGTTCTGTCATCTGCCACCACTGAGGACAGTCTAGCTCCATCCTCTTTGTAACCACCTTTCAGGTAGTTGAAGGCTGCAATCAAATCCCCCTTCAGTCTTCTCTTCTATAGACTAAATAAGCTGAGTTCCCTCAGCCTCTCCTCATAAGTCATGTGCCCCAGCCCCTGAACCATTTTCACTGCTCTCTGCTGGACTCTCTCCAACTTGTCCACATCCTTTCTATAGTAGGGGGCCCAAAACTGAACACAGTACTCCAGATGTGGCCTCACCAGTGCATAGTAGAGCAGAATAATTACTTCCCTTGATCTGCTGGCAATGCTCCTACTAATACAGCCCAGTATGCTGCAAAAGATCTGGGCTAGTTGGAAAAGGAACTGAGGGTATGGGGCAGAACACAGACTGGACAAGAAATCCAGGGAGGGAGACAGAGGAACTAGTAATAAAAAGCAAAACTGAAGGCTGAGAAAAAGAGACAGACTGCATGAGGAGCTGGGAAGAGAGAAACTGTTCTGTCTCTTCTTCCGAAGCTTCATGCCCACCAAACCTGCCCCAGTCTCTTTCTCTATTCTGTTTTTTCTTCTCCAAGCCAGTCCTAGTCTCTACTCCTTGGGTTTCCCATCTCAGCCCCAGTCTCCTTGCCCATCCAGTTCCAGTCTGTGCCCCTGAAAGCCTAAAACAGAGCCCAAGACTCCTAAGTGTCGCCATCTCACTGCAGTCAGGTAGTATCTGGGGAAGTCTCTGCAAAGTAATGTGTATGTCTGTCTACCAATGCACATGCCCATGTGTGGGAGTACACGTCTGTGTTTCACTGCTCCTCTCTCCTGGGTCCATTCCTTGTTTCTGTTTTATGTCAACCATGACAGGCATGAGAACGCCTGTCAGGAGGAATATGAGGCTGTTAGACTGTGCAGCTGACACGTCAGCGATGACACAAGGTGGCTGTGAGAAGCGAGAGGCCCCTTTCTGCCACCCTTACCCCTCAGAAACACACACAAAATGTAGCTCAGCAGGCATCTCCTGCCCAGACTGTGGGGTTTCTTAGGCTTCCCTGCAACAGTGGAAGGCCTGTCAATATTAAGGAGTCTGACAGTGGCTCAGAGTCAGCGCCTGTTTAGACCTCTTGCTCTGAAAACTGCTGCTGGACAGTGAGGGGTATGGCCTGGATCCTGCCAGTTGCCTGCTGAGACCAGGTGGCTGACTTCCCACTCTGGGCAGCCCCCACACAGCATGAGGGAAGCGATGGCAAACCTTCTCCAGCTGATGCTGCCAAAGCCACTTCTCTGGAGCAAAATAGCTTGGCCTCATGCTAGAAAGCCAGGGGCTGAGAAAGGGGACAACAGACTATCAGAATCAGGCTGAGCAAGGAGTGACAGAGTGACAGACAGACCCATCCATATTGCTCACCTCCACTTCGCACTCATACTCCGAGGCATCAAGCAGGGTCACTCTGCAGAGGGCACTCTTGGCCTTCTTGGTGATTTTCTGTGGTGACTTCTGGGTCTTGCTGGGCGTTGTTTTCTCTGATATCCCATCTGTTTCACTGTAGTCCTTTTCTTCCATGTCTGCACCCTGGAGAGGGAGAAATCAACACTGTTACCTTGCACCCATTTGGGGCCCTGACCATTGGCAAACTCAGCCTATACAACCATCAGGGAGATGCTGGGCTTGGGGGATGGATCAGAACACAGCACACTGAGCCAATGAGAAGAAGAGGTCCACCAGGGAGTAGGAGCTGTGAACTGCAGTGTCTTCTGAACCCTCAGTGAAGTGGGAGCTGTAGGGAGAGATCCTGACCTTCCTTCCTGCCCCTTTCGACATGTGGAGCAATAGTAATGCTAGAGGAGTCTCTTTCCAGAGCAGGGTTGGAAGCTGGGGCAGGGTGCTTTCATTGGGTTGGTCCAACCATCCCAGAGTACCAGAAATCAGGGTTGGGATGCAGATCATGGAAGGGGATCAGATAGCTAAGACAGTATCAGCCACAGTAACTCTGAGAAGTCTGGTGAGTTGCTCTGGATTGTCTACTGAAAGTGAGATCAAGATGTCACCTTCACTCCATTGGCACCGAGTGACTTACTCGCTGGCCTAACGACATGTTGCCTTTTTCTAGTCACAACACTGGCAGACATGGACAGCCTGGCCCTCAAATCAACACACTGGGCTGCACATGAAAACCTCTGCCTGGAGGGAAGCATAGCTCTGCTGGACATGGGATTTGTTTGCCAGCATGGTCCTGTCACATTCACAGCTTCCTGGGTGCACCAAGAAACAGCACCTGTGTAGCTTTGGCACAGGCACCCACAGGACCTGGACTGCACTGAAGAACATGAAGTCCACATCTCCAGTCAGGTCTACATCAGGCATTTGCCCACATCATGGCACAAAAGGGAGATTTGGCCTGGTACTCCTTGGAGCCTGGTGTTCAGGCTTTGTTAAAGGGTGGAATGGGAGCTTGGTGAATTTGGCAGCCTCTAGGTATGTGTCTAATACCCCGGTACAGCTCCAGGAAACCAAGCACCAGGAGCAGTATGTCACCTTTGATCAGAACTGCAGGCTCACTCCAATAAGCCCTGCCGAGAGGCAGAGGTTCTGAGTGTCTCAGTCCGCTTGCGATGGCTAAGATACCCTATTTCTCTAAGTGCCTAAGAGATGTTTTCTTCTACTCTCCAAGTCCGGGACAAGACATGCTGAAAAGGTAGTGAGGGAGTGTATTTATCACTGCTTCCTATGCTGTATCTCTTGAGTTTTCTCCAGGAGAGGACCTAGATCAGGGGTGGGCAAAATATAGCCCACAGGCTGCATCCAGCCTGCAGAGGGACTTTATTCGGCTTGCAGCGGGTCCCTTGGTCCCGCCTGGCCCAGGCACCATCTGGCCCAAGGCACGTCCTGCCACCCCCCCAGGCACACAACAGGGCTGGGGCAGCTCCACAGCTGGACAGCTTTTCTAGGCAGTGCTCGGGGGCACAGAAGGGAATTGGTGAGGTTTTATTCACCAAGGCGCCCCCGGGGGTTACAAGAAATAATGGCCACAAGCTAGCAGAGAACAGATTTAGACTGGACATTAGGAAGAACTTCTTCACAGTTAGAGTGGCCAAGGTCTGGAATTGGGCTCCCAAGGGAGGTGGTGCTCTCCCCTACCCTGGGGGTCTTCAAGAGGAGGTTAGATAGGCATCTAGCTGGGGTCAGCCCCGGCACTCTTCCCTGCCTATGCAGGGGGTCGGACTCGATGATCTATTGAGGTCCCTTCCGACCCTAGCATCTATGAATCTATGATGGCTTCTTGCAGCTGCCATCGCTGCTGGCCCAGCCCAGTGGTACAGGCAGGGACCTTTGTACACAGCCCCAACCCTTGCCCACTCTGTGTGCACTCCAAACTTGACCCGGAGAAGCGGACGAGCTCTGGACCAGCCAGAAACCATGCACACAGCCCCGCCCCACCCTGTGCCTGCTCCAGACTTGCCTGCGCATGCTGAGCAGCAGCAGCAGCAGCAGCAGCAGCCAGGCAGAAGCTGCTACTTGGCACTGGGGAAAAGTGGCCCCTCCCCCTCGCTGCTACCAGGCTCTTCTTGATGCAGCTGTCTGGAGCCCACACCTGGGCTGCCCTGTGGCTCCTCTGCACTGCCACTGCTGCCCCACTGAGTGGCCCAGAGGAGGTGGTGATGACGGCAGAGAGGAGCCACAAGGCAGCCCAGGCCTGGGCTCTGGGTGGCTGCAGCAAGAAGGGCCCAGCAGCGGTCAGGGGGCAGAACCACATTTCTCCAGTGCTAAGCAGCAGCTTCTGCCTGGTCACTGCTGTTGCTCAGTGTGGGTGGGTGGTCCACAGCAGATGCAGAGCGGGTCAGGGTCAGGGCTGTGCCTGCAGGTTTTGGCTGGTCCACTCTGACACTGTGGCAGGCAGCCCCTGTGCCACGCCAGCCTGGTGATCTGGGCCAGGGATTTATCGAGAATGGTGATTCTCAACTAGGGAAACATGAGATCCTTTTAAGGGTGCCAGACAACACACGCTGTTAAGTGTGGAAACATGATTCACTAAATAAACCCAGATATTTGAAATAGGCATCCATAGTGTCAAAAGCATTCTGACTTGCTGGAGTCTTTCTGAGTTCTTTGCAACAGAAGAATTGCTCTAGTATTTTTTGGTGGTCAAGAAAAGAGTGAAAGAGAAGAGCTCACATTTTCTGAGGGCAGCCTTAAGTTTAACAAGGTTGAGAAACACCAGTCTAGAAACAAGACAACCAGGGAGTGAGGGAGGTAACATGGAGCTCCCTCTGCACTGGCTGAACTGGCTTCATCAGGTGAAAAAGTCTTGAAAACCTGTTCTCAGCAATAAACTCTTTCTAGAGAAGCCCCTTCTCCTGCAGTCTGTGGGAAGAGCAAGGGTGTCCGAGCCTATGTGGGGCCAGATCCTTGTTCACGCAACTCACAGCAGCCAGAAAGCTGCTCTACAGGAGCTTCTGAGGATTCTGCCAGCAAAGGCGTATCCTGTAGGATGCACAAGGCTGGCACTGCTGGCCCCATACTGTCCACTCCTTTCCCCTCCACACTGTAGGTGCCAGGATGGGCCTGAAGAACAAAGGACTTTTGCAGAAACTTAAGTTACAGCAGCCCCTGGGATAACCACTACCTCAGGGGTGGGCAAAATGCGGCCCACGGGCCGGATGTGGCCCACCTACCCATTCTATCTGGTCTGCGGGGCCCATAAAAAATTTAGAAAATTAATATTTATCTGTCCCCAGCCCTCGATGACTTGCCAAAACTCAGTAAGTGGCCTTCCACCCAAAATAATTGCCTGCCCCTGCACTAGCCACTAGTGTTACCTGCCTCTAGGATCCTCTTATTTCTGCCAGAGTGTTTCAGCACATTGAGAAATTTAGCTACTTGCTTCCTTTGCTGTCCTTGGCCCTGTTGCTGGAGGGTAGTGACTTGGGCAGATGCTCAGCAGTGCTGTTCTCTCCTTTGGGCTTCTGTTTACAAACATCTGCCCTACTGCTGGGAAGGATCAGGCCTCAGGCGTTCCATTTGTGCTGGCCAGTGTGAGCTCTGGCCAGGGAGGGCAGGACAGATGTGGCTATGGGGAAAGGAGCAAGAGGCAAACTGAGTTTTTAAAGCAGTGTCCAAGGGAGGCTAGGCACAGCTGGGCCATCGCAGAGGCTTGTCCAATTATTGACAGACAAGGTCAGGCAGCAGGCAAGTCTGTACTCCCTGCAAACACCTCAGCACACTGGCCTGTACACTGAATCAAGTCTGCTAGCATCTAGCACAGATCAGCTTCCAGATCACAAACCCTCAGCAGGGTATGAAAGTGACAGGGTGTGTGGGCCACAAAACAAAGGAGACACGTGGTCAGCTGTGGGCCAATACAGATTTTGAGCACCCGGAGAAGGACAAGAGGCTGCAGAGCTGAGATACTGGGGGGCTGGCTCCATGTGCAGCTGTTGGCTGCATTCAGCAGGTCTCTAGCTGGTGGTAAATAGAGCAGCTGGCTTCTGCTAAGCTAATAATGCCACCATTCATACCCTCAGGGCCATCCAGGTAGTGTAAAGCCTAGGCGACTAGTGGCACCAGCCCATTTTGGCCCAATGAGTCTGGCTTATTGCATTGTGCAGGGGCACTGTTTATATTGGCATGGTGAATTCAGCACTGGAAAAATGTACTGGGCAATTGCCAGAGGCACAATAGGTGCAGCATAGACAAGCTTCCCATAACGCTCTACCAAGGAGGCCCAGTCCTGCTCTGGATAGACCTATTGCTTCTAGCGGGGAGAAGGAAGCTTCATTCACTTTAGTTAGTTGGGAATGGCTATCAAGGGCTGAGCTTTTCTGAGGACACCTGCCAGCTGTAGAGCAGACACTTTTCAGCTACCCCCAACTTTTGACTGCCTGGGTCACAGCATCTAGTAGTGACTACTTGTCCCACTGTCCACTCACCGGCTCTGCATTTCTGGAGTCTGAGTGGGCTCTGGGCTTTTCATTGGCCTCAGCTTCCTGGCTGTTGGCTGTTGGTCCAGGGCTGGTGGTCACTGGGGTCGGCCCACTTGCTGCAGCCTCCAGCTGTTGCTGTGGAGTTTCCTCTTGGGCATTCTTCACCTCAGAATCTAGGCCAGTCTCTGTTGTCATGGTTACTATTTATTCTGTATTTGCATAAGCAAAGACAAAGGATAAAAGAGAATTAAATACCATCCTGGTTTTTGAAACAACCTCCCCAGTCTTAGAGGACTTGCCTGCCTGGTGCCATTTCATACCAGAGAGTTAACATTTGTTAACATCCATGCCAAAGGCTTCCAAAGGTGATGACATGTTGCAGTGATCAACCTTGCTGCCCAGGTGGCTCAACAACAAGCAAGGAGCAGAGCCCTACCATACCTAGCCTCTCCACAGGGCCGGAGGAGAAATCACTGTCTTAGCTCTATCTATAGTCCAATTAGCTGACAGTGCAAACTGGTGACTACACATCACACCACTGCTTGCTAGCTAAGGCTGCAGAGAGCTTCCCACCTCCACTTAGAAGCTGACCTTGGACATAAGTGAATTCTGAACTCTCTCCTGCAGGTACTGGGAAGCCAGGGCTAGGTGCCCACAAGCAGGTCTGCTGTACTACCCAGGATTCTGACTGTCACTCCGAGACAAGAAGCAGCAAAAAGTTTCTTCAGCTTCACAGCTCTGACCTGGTCTCCATATCATTCCTAGCTCCTTCATGAAATGAAACATCCGGTTGTTACATAGAAGTCACCATGCAGGAGGCATCAGGGAACGGGTCCATCTAAGTGGGCCCCATCTGAGGTGCCTGTGCCCAGTATGTAGAGACAGAAGCAGAGGCCTTGCAGAACCCAGCTGGCTGGCTGTGCAGCGCTGGTGAGCCCTGCCCCAGTGATCAGTTTGTGCCCTCAAGCATGAGATTTGATTAACCAAATCACCAGCCCAGCTTGTGCAGTTATGTGTGTTATCAAGGATCAGAAAACCGCCCAGGCCTGGTTCCAGTTACAGACACGGCACAGCTCTACCACATGCTCTTGTTGCTCTGAATTCCACAGGTCAGCCACTACCTGCGTATGAACCTGCTACTGCTTCCTTGTTTGCTGCCTTTTAAGTGTGACTGACAGAAGGAAAGAACAAGACCCAAATGGGCCAAGGCATCTGACCAGCCATCTCACTGAGCTGAGACTTGCTGCCACGACAGCCTTAGGAAGCTTCTTTATGGTAGTAAGTTTCCACAAACTCTGTGGCTTTCAGCCTGGCCCAGTTTGTGAAATAGAAGATTTGGACAGTCTGTCTAGAAACATGCTGCCCACTAGTGCTGCTGGATTATGGGGACTCACTTGGATATTTAGGCTGAAGGTGCTGCCTGCTAGTACTGTTATAAATACATGCAGGGAGCTTGATCCTTTTTTAATATCATCAAAACCAAGTGCTTTGGATTCAATCCCAGCTGCACTGGGCTAGTTGCAGAGTGACTGCCTTCAAGCTACCATGAAGATGGCTGGTGTATTTCCATAAACCAAGCTGAACAAAGCTCAGAAAGGAAGCTAATCACTTGGATGCTGAAAAGGGATTTGGTTTAAAAGCTCTTGTAGTAATCTCAGGTGTGCACAATAATGCAGGGAAAAAACATCTGCGTTTTAACACTCCAAGACTTCCTTTATGATCCTCATATGTTTTGCAATTTCCTGTATGCTATTGCCTTTTTCATGAAGAGTGCTGGGTAGTTGTGCAGAATGTAGGAGAGAAGCGTGCAAAAGGGCAGAGCTGGCAAGTCCAGCACAAGTGAGAAGCAATGCTTTTCACTCTCAACATTGCTCAATTATGCAGCATTTACGGATGCAGAGGCTGAGGCACAGGGTCTGCCTCTGTTCTTATTACAACCAACAACAAAAAGTCCACAGACTGCCAGGGGGCAGGTGGAAAACCAGAAACTGATATAAATCAGAAAGCAACTGGCCAGGTGACATGATGCAACACCTTGTGCTAGACCATACGCACCAAGGCTGTATTCATAATACACACAGGGCTTAACCAACCTAAAGCTGCTGCCCATAAGCCTGAAAAAAGTCAGTGTGAAAGTTCTGGGCACATCTGCATGTGGGTAGCTTATGAAAGCAGCAGGTGGCACTGCCAGGAGAACTGATGCTTTCCTGTGGACTTACTGGGGAGTGCTAAGGGCAGCCATGCATAGGAGGGCACTGAGCACCAGAACTCATCCTCTGTCATCCTCCTGTGAGGACAAGAAATGGGAGATTGTTACTTGTACCCCTGAATGGGGTGGGTTGCCATTCAGGAACCTGTCTCCCAACGATGTCACTGGTTGCTTGTACACCTCCACTTTTAGGGTAAAGTGAGTATTCACCTGGAGCACAGGTGGGGCAATACCTTTATCTGAATCTGTAGCAAATTCCACCCCCAGTCGCCCCCCTCCACTATCCCTCTATCCGCTCTCTCACATTTCTCGCCACTTTTCTGATTCTGCTTTTCTCCAGTCCACCTCCCCCTCTAGTCTTGACCCTGCACACACTCCCTCTCCACCCTCACCCCCCTTACAGCTTGTGCAGCTTGCAGGCAGGCAGGGCGGCTTGGGGCTTTAAACATCCAAGTTCAAATGACAGAAATCCCTTTTAATAGAGTTGTCACCGCTCATCTTCTGGGAGGCCAACAGTGAGGCCCTGGCAGTCTGACACACCTACTATTTTCTGTGAAGCAGAGCTCATTGGCACCTAAGCAAACGTGCACACAAGTGGACCTGTCATCACATACAGCCCGCAACACACACATGCACACACCAGCGACAGCACTCCCTCCATAGGAAGAGCTGTCCTTAGGGTTTTTTTTTTAGCAAAATCTTTACTACAAAATCTTTACCATAGCTCCCACTTTGGCTTTTCAAACCCTCCCCCACCCTGTGTATGTCTCAGTTCAAAAGACTCTTCTTTTATCCTCCCCAAATATCCATGTGCCTCAATATCAAACACTGACAGGTGTGAAAATCCCTGAGCTAGCATCCTTTAAAATGGTGCCACTGAAGAACAGTTTTTTCTTTTTATATTATTAGGACTAGATATTCTCTCTCACATGTCTAGGCACTTTGTGGCTATGGCCCTTGGTCTCATCTGCAGAGAGATCTACAACACAGTTGCAAAAGAAACTATAAAAGCTCTCTGAGGCATTTCTGAAGCAGCTGCTCAGTAATGCAGGCAGCGTGGAGAGTATGGCAGTGTGCAGCCTGGGTGTGGCTTATCTTGCTGTTATGAATTATCTTTCTCCTGCTAGCACCTGAATAAATGTGTATGGCGCTGTCTCCTAGAAAACACACAGCGGGGCAGGGAAGCCTATTGCAGAACTGGGTGACAAATGGTTTTCCTAAACTGGGAAAAGTTCAGAGATTTCAAAAAATATTCCGTTTGAATCAGCACAAAAAGCCAAAACTGCACCAGTCTTCAGGATCTGAAGAAACATCAGCCAGAACACCAGTTTGGGGCAATCAGGACAGCTGGTTTGGATCATTTCAAAATTTTGTTCCAATTTTGTCCATTCTTGTTTTTAAAAACTTGTTTTTATTTTACTATGCATTAGCTTAAATGTCTGAATGAAAAGTCACTTGGAAAGGCAAAAATATAAACATTTTCACTCAAGCAATTGCACATGGATTTTTTTTTAGTCCCCTTTCTCCCCCCCCAGGAAATTCACTTCCTGCAAAAAAAGTTTCAGTTTTTACAAATCAGCATTTTCAATGTAAAACATTTAGTCAAGGAAGCCCTGCCCAGTGCCAGTGTGAAGGGTTAACTTGAATGTGCATCACATGGCCAGCTTAAGCGACTCTCAGCTCTATTTGGGACATAAAGTCATCATCCTGGAGGCTGTGACCCTGGGCTAGCTGTTACCTGCACCCAGCCAACATTTCCGACAATGCTGTGACAGTCTTCCTTCCTCTCGCCCCCGCCCCATGGCTTTCTGTGTGGCTAACTACTAGCACCCCTATAGCTGGTACACCTGAACTAGTGCCTCCTGTTGGGAGGGAGAGGTCCTACACAGCTGAGAGCTCTCCCTGAACTGACGTTCCCAATACTCCACTCCCAAGGGCAGTGGCGGCACTGGCAGGAGGAGAGCTGAACTATTTCTCTACATTTAAAAATTTCCTCTGGGCTGTTCATTCTGTGCCTTCTAACTCCACACTGATGGGTTGACAGGGAGAGGAGTTTATGTCTGGTTTAACAATATAGAGGCCCTGCAGCCAGGTGCCAGATCAGAGCACGCACCTAGTCCACACCCAGACATACTGCAGGGCTGCAAGCTCATTGGTGTGCTTTCCATGCCAATGGGAATAATTTCCTTCAGAGACCAGGCCTGCCACAAAGGGAAGCTTTGCAAGGCACAGATGCCTGCTCCGAGAGCTCATTGCCCCAGGCATGGCCTGTCAGAGCCTTCAGAAATGGCAAGCATTGCAACTATTTCTACAGAGTAAACTCAGAACACTACTCCGCCTGCATTCTCTTCCCCTTCCACACGCGCATGCACGCACGCATGCACGCACACGCATGCACACACACATACTTCCCTCATAACCTTCCTTCACCCTCACCTAAGTGACCTGGGCGATTTTCAGTCTGTTTCTGCCAGACTTTGCTACAAAATACAGTAATAGGGCACTGGCCCATGGCTACCCCAAGCCTAGCACTGCCTGGCAGGTGACCCTGTTAGCGAGTAACCTTGGGGATGTTTTCATGAGGTAGATCACATCTACCGCAATTCTGACTTCTCTCAGCGGGAATCAGCACAGGGGGCCACACAGAAGCAGTGGTGAAGCTCAGAGCTAAGCCTCAGCAGG